AATCCATCCTGTCCCTGTCAACTGGGGTGCCGGACGTGAGTTATTCATCTCTGATCTAGAATTATCGACTCGTGTCACACGCTGCATCGCGATCTTGTCGCACTACTACCCTGCCGCGTCCCACTCCGTCTCCAAACAATGCACTGTCATTCTCGGTATCAGTAGCATGGCAGCAATGTCAGTATAGAAGCTCCGCTGACGCCCGTAGCCACCGCACGAGAGCGAGGCCCCGTCGTTTGCTCCCGCATCAAGTCCAACCTCCCCATCCGCAACTCGATCGGCGCGCACGCGGGCTCCTACTCGATCTACCGTGCTCTGAGCATCGCGATGGGCCAGCTCCGTCCGGACTGGAGGCCCGACCTGACCAACACGCATGTGAGTGGCGTCGGGCGTCGATAGTGTACAATGGGCGTCATGCTGACGTTGCGCCTCAGCCTCCATTTGTGCTTCCACCTCAACCCGGGTGGTTTGGCGATGGCACCGGCCGGGGCGAAGAAGGCAACAAGAAGGACTGGAAGATTGTGTCGTTTGACCCGTGGGGTGCGCTCTCTCAGGAAATCTGGGCAAAGGAGTATGCCGAAGGTCTTGACGTGCGACCTACAATCTCGCAGACGAAAGCGCACATCAAGATCCTCGAGCTTGACGAGCTGTGCCGTAACGGCGAGTTCCCCGTCGATGGGGACATTGTCATTCGATCACCCGAACTACCCGCCTTCCCGGGCGTCGACCAGGGTTGCGAAGTCAACACGTACAAAGCGGCTATCGACCCGGTGTGGTTCCTGCCGGGGGTGGCGGCTCGTTTGGGGATAGACGAGAGTACACTCCGAAGAGCGCTCTTCGAGGACACAGGTGGGATGTACCCCGAGCTGCTCACTCGGCCGGATATCAAGATCTTCCTCCCGCCCATCGGGGGCATGACAGTGTACATCATGGGCGACCCCGCAAAGCTCTCGGACCCCAACACGGAGATCACCTGCAGGCCGCACGACTCGTGCTCGGGCTCAGACGTGTTTGGGTCGGATATCTGCACGTGCAGGCCGTACCTCATCTTTGGGATTTCGGAGGCGATCAAGTGTGCCCAGCGGGGCGGTGTCGGCGTGATCATCTACTTCCAGAAGGTGAGCAGGGTGTGGGGTATCCGAACCCGCGCGGATTGGGAGGCGGCTTGAAAGGGGCTGTGATATCGATGGCGAGCAGGATGAAATGAGGGGAGGGGAGAAATGCGTTCAGCAGTGGGCCTTGGAGGTCGTGCGAGGTGGATGTGGACACAGGGGCGGTGAGGAGCTGTGGGAGGTGCCAGGTGCCGATGTAGAAGCAGCGACCCAGCATCTCAACGTCTCGACTTGATCACGCGGAAGCTCCCAGATCCCAGAACCGTGCTGACTCGACATAGGAAGGTCGCGCCCTTGGCGAAGTCGTCAAATACATGGTCTACAACCGGCGGAAGCGAGGCGGCGACAACGCCTCGGAGTACTTCAACAACACGGCCATGGTCGCCGGCGTCAAGGATGCGCGGCACCAGGCGCTCATGCCTGACGTGCTGCATTTCCTGGGTATCAAGCACATCACCAACCTCATCTCGATGAGCAACCTCAAGTACGACGCGATTATCGGGAGCGGTATCACCGTCAAGAACAGGTATGAGATCCCGGACGAGCTGATCCCGGCCGATTCGAGGGTGGAGATCGACGCGAAGGTGGGTGACGCGACGTCTTGGCGGCGTTGCGGCGTTGCGGCGTTGCGGCGTGGCGGCGTGGCAGCGCGGCAGCGCGGCAGTGTGGTTGCGTGGCTGTGTGTCTGCGTGGCTTTGTGTCTGCGTTTGGTGGATAAACCAGAGATTGACAATCCACTGCAGATCCAGTCGGGATACTTCTCCAAGAAGCAGATGAACGACGATATCCTCAAGGAGACCAAGGGTCGCGGATGGGGTGAGTCGACGGCGAGGCGACGAGGCGACCAGGCGTCCCCGCGGCGTGGCGCTGGGATATGTGTCATTGACTGAGCAAAGCTGACGGTGACGCAGAGGACATCGTGCACTGATCGCGCTGATTGGGCGAGAAAGCGGGAGAATCGAGTGGAGTCGAGTGGAGTCGAGTGGAGTCGAGTGGAGTCGAGTGGAGTCGAGTGGAGTCGAGGCGAGTATCGAAGGGTTGTAAGATGCGTATACTCGGCGCAACCATGCATGATCCATTGGTTCGGCGGGTTCACTGGGGTCCGTATTCCGCGCTCCTGCGGTTTATGCCTGCCGTGTGCGTTTCTCCGCAGCCTACTCATCCGTGTGGAGCATCGGACTTGGTAGGGATCATCATGCCTAGGTGCAAGAATGATGAAGCATGCATGGCTAGCAGGCCAGCAGACTAAACGGCGCGACGCCCTACATCCAGGACAAAGCCACTTCTTCGCCCCCCGGGCCGCCACGGGGGTATGTAGCACATTCCACATCGCCTCCCTCTCCTCGACCTCATCGTGACATGTCAGTCACTGCTAGGACCTCTCATCTCCCAAAACCGCCTCCGCCGAACCCGGAAGACCCTGGTAGACCGCCGAAGCCCTGTCCGGCGGAATCAGGCCCTCGAGGCTGTCTCATTATTCCGGGGCTGTTCCTCCCTCCGCCGATTCCACTTGCTCCGCCGACTCCGATTCCGCCTACTCCGCCTACTCCGCCTCCGCCTACTCCGCCTCCGCCTACTCCGCCTACTACTCCCGCTGAGCCTATACGGACCTGATGAGGCATCGGTCCAGCGGGACCCGTCGGACCTGTCGGACCCGCAGAGTTCGGCGGGGGCGGGGTGTTCCACCCCGGGCTATGTCCTCCGGGGTAAGCCCCATCGGGGTATCCTGTGTACTGGTACCCTCCGTAGCCCATCGCGCTTTGTGCTTGTGCTTGTCCTTGCCCGTAATGCCCGTACTGAGCATACGGCGCCGTCTGTCCCGCCCCCATCCACGAGCCAGTGCCCGCGCCCGTGCCCGTAACACTTCCCATGCCGGGCCCGTATCCGGTTCCGGGCGCAGACCCGGGTGGATTACTCGGACCCCCGTAGCCCGGGGAGTTGGTACGGCGGCCCGAGCCCGAACTCGTCGAAGCCTGACCCGGAGTAATCGAAGGGGGTCCTCGGTACTGGTACGCCGTCTGTGCAGCGTTCGCGCCCGCGTCGAGAGGCGATCGACGGCGGCCACTTCCACTCCCGCTTCCACTTCCCGAGCGGCCGTCGCGGGGGTCGTAGCGCGGTTCGGACCGGGGGAGAGCGGTTGAGCCAGAAGGGGGATGTGGCAACGTGCCGATACCTGGTGTGCTCCCAGATCCAGATCCAGGCGCCGTCGTTGCATCCCCCACCCCCGACCCCGACCCCGACCCCGACCCCTGCCCCTGCCCCTCCTCCCCCGCGGCGCCGGCGCTCGGGCCGAAGATCCGTTCGCGGGCCAACCGATACTCCTCCTCCCTCTCCTCGATAGTCTTGGGAGGGGTGTTGGTGCCCGACGACGTGCGGGAGGGCTTGGAGGGTGCGTCGGACGGGCGTTTGAGGATCTGGATGGAGCGCTGGGGTAGGGGCGAGGAGGAGGCGAGGAGGACGGGGGAGGGGGAGTGGGTGTTTCTGAGGTTGTCAGCGGGGAGGTTGGGTTGGGACGTCAGCGGGGCGGTGGGGTTGGGCAGACAGAGCACTAGGCAAGAACACAGAAGCCCAAGGCAAAACGCAGAGCACTAGGCAAAGACGACCATCCAAGCGGGGAGCAGAGGAGACCGGAAAGAGGTGGTGAATCGACTTGGCACGTGTCAAGGTGTCGGCATGGCCAAGTCCGAGTATGAGGTGAACAGCGGCCGGCGAGCAGGGAGCAGGGAGCAGGGAGCATTGTGGGCTCAGATCCGAGAGGAAGCGAGAGAAGGGGACAGAACCATCTGGCTACCGCGGATAAGGAGGGATGGGAGTGAATCTGCACCAGACAGGTGAAGTACCGCAACCAAGATTATACCCTGCCTTCATCTTCGAGACGATCGGCAGGAGCTCCGGCTCGGCGTGACAGATTGGCATGACAATGGAAGTTGGAAGAGGAGCAGGACGAGGATGCTCGTCGGACTCGCCCTCGTTCGCACTCACGCCGAGTCCCATATCTGCCGATTTGTCACCGCCTTTGGCCCTCTGAACCAATCGTCTCCGCCATCCGACGCGTTTACTGCTGGTCCTGGTCCTGGTCCTGGTGCCGATGCCGATGCCGCTCCGATTCCTGCGGCGTCACGATCGCGCGAGCGTCCGGGCCCGGGAACTGCGGCAAGGGCGCTTGGCCCGGGCTGGGGAATTTGAGTGCTCGACCCCGACCCCGACCCCGACGCCGGGTCGTACAGCCTCGGCGTGCTGATCTGGGCCTGGGGCGGTCTTGAGGTTCCCGCACCAGGAGGGGGAGGGTTGAACGAGAATGTCGGTGCAGAAGGGCGGAGGGATGGTGCAGGCTTCGATAGTCTGGGTTTGGAGGGGGCGACACTCGAGAGGTCCGCCTGGGGAGTCAGTTCAGTCGGGTTGCCTCGAACGGATTCACAAGTCGGGCAGCTGGGCGGGGTTGTGGAGTTCGAAGGCGAGGGATCAGGGGACTCACCGTCTCCCAGTCATCTTCTTCAGACATGATCACTGCTCGGAGAAGGCGAGAGGGACGGCTCCAAGCTTCTAGGAGTATGCGTTGACAGACTGCAACAATGACGACCGAGAACGAATGTTGAAGCGAATACAACGTGATTGTGATTGTGCGAGATTGGGCCAGCGTACGAGCGATTCAGACGGGGGCCGTTGCCCTTCATGTGGCAGATGTCCTCCGCTCGCACAACTCGGGGAGTGGATTCCAGGCATCTCAACTCTTCCCCCAGGCCATCCCGTCACTCAAAGACCACACACACCACCTCCACTCAATTGAGACGCCCTCGTACACCCTCGCGCATCGAGACCCTGCAATGTATGCAAAAGCACAGTAAGGACGTCCCAACGCCGTGAGGCAGGGGCAAAAACAAAAAATCTTAACGCCGCCTGGTTTCGATCCAGGGACATACGGGTGTCAGAATATGAGCCCGTCACTCTCCCAGCTGAGTTACAGCGTTTAACAGACTCGGTCACAAGGAACCGATGGAAACAGAAGATTCTTTTCATATATAAAATCAGCGACTTTGGAGTTGATGCCGACGTGTCCTGGAAACAGAAGATTCTTTTCATATATAAAATCAGCGACTTTGGAGTTGATGCCGACGTGTCCTGAGATGGTCATCGTCTTTCGGGGTTTTACGCATACTTGTGCGTGAAGTATGCATTTCACCACGTCGACAAAGGCCTATCCCCTCTATGAGGCGCTGTGGGGGCGTTCGTCCTCTGTTGACTTGAGACCTGCCGGCGCTTGGCCCGAACGGTTCATTCCAATGATGCCGAATCTGGATGTGGTTTGGACTTTTGCGCGCGGACCTGTACTGCACTCGTTTTGTATGCATCCCGCATACCATGCATCTCCTATCGGTTGACGTATGCAGGCGGCGAGCAATGATCGGCCAGTCATCCCCCAGACACAAAAGCAAAGTCGAAGGCAGACAGATCGGGAAAGAGAAAGTCAAACGACATCTCCATGGCGGGCGCGGCTGCTTAATCAGACACAGCACTCGCGTCTTCTTGCACAGAGCGTCTTCCGGTGATGCGCCTCTGGACCCACCTATACTCTGTTTGACCTCGTCAAAGTACGCGTCCAGGTCGTTTGCCGTGCCGAGGATAGTTCGCTCGTCGCCCACTGCCATGAGTGCACCGATGGTTTTGGCGCACTCGCGGGTGACGTGTGGAGTCTGATCTCTCAGGTCTTCGCTTGTGAATATGGCTAATGCTTGCGAGAGACCATCGCGGCTTGAGGGGTTTCCCAGTACGAAATCAATGGCCAGGACCATTGCCGCGCCGAGGATCCACCGCTTGGCGAAGCTATGTAGGATTCAGCGTGTTTCCACAGTGCTCGTCGCTGGTCCAGTACCATCGTCGACCCACCCCGATCGCAACCATGGTGTCTGGTTGAAGAGTGCCTGACGCTCTATGATCCGCATCGCACTGTCGACCGAAGCCTTCCGGGAGACTTGCCACTCCTCCTCGTGGTACCCCCGCGTCATGAACGGCCGGTGGACACGCAGTATTCGATTATGTATGCCTAGGACGTCAGCCGAGGCGCGAGGCGCAACCACCGATACTCGAGCGCTTACTGCAGAAGACGAGGTGGATGAGCCCTGATGCGTCAGCAGGGATCGGTGACTTGGGAGGGACTCGTCTTGTCTCACAAGTATCTTCCAGGGGCTCCGTGACTGGCGGCACCGCGCCGAGCGCTAAGCGAAGTGCCCGATCGTACTCGAGCACTTCGTCGTACGATAGTTCTCCGCCATCAGCTTCACGCACAAGACGCCTACTCACCGCCCGGCTTGTGATGGTGCGTGATTACCATGGCGAGAGTGCCTCCCACCTGAGACGCGGTCAGCCAGCTGCGGCACCGATGGAACGGCTCGATGAGACGCTGTATTCACCCTTGCGAGGGTGGCCTCGGTGAGCTCGTAGGAAGGTCGCGCTTCGGTATCGTCCAGGTTCCGGAGGTTCTCCGGCATGGGCGTGGAGGCTTCAAACGCAACGCTCAGCCTCGGATTTGCGGCGGCGAATGAAGCACTCGCACTTACCCTTGTCGAGCCTCCACAGCCTCGGTTGGCGCTGCATCGTGCCATCCATGAACGAGAGGATATGCAGATAACGCTTGCACATCCCGAGCGCCGCCCGAGGGGTAAAGCCCGAAAAGGCCGGGTCATCCAGAGGGACCGCCGTCGGGTCGTCACTCAGAACATCGAGATTGAGCCATTGGGCAGTGGTGATGGCCGATTCGAGATGGCGGAGAGCAATGTTGACCTGCGCGGGTGTCTCGCCGAAGTGCTATCGTGAGCTCGAGAGACTTGTGCGTACATACAAATAGGAACTGGACGTATGCCAGGGATACCTGTCGTCAGTGCTCTCCGAGTAGGAGTTGAATCACCTGGATGTGCCTGATCTGGGGCACTGCGAGGTAATCTGCCGCCTCGAGAGCCATGAGGCTGGTCTTGTAGAATGCCATGGGCAGCTGCGCGAGACCCGACGAAAGGAAGAAAGGGAACAACGTCGCGGCATTCGGGCTGAACTTGATTGTGATGGCCAACACCTGGGTAAATGAGTACTGCGTCGGAGCTGGGACTCACGATGAGATAGACTGCAAGCCAGGCGGGATCGGTGTTGGACAGACGTCTATCGGGCTGAGCGGCGAACTCGAGGTTCTCGCGGCGGAACGTCGGCCCGTCGAGGATCTGGCACCGCATGAGCAGGGGCGTGGGGCAACAGGGTAGCTGTGACAGCATTGTAGTGGATCAACTCACGTGCCAGCCGCGATGGAACGGTCCGTTGAGGTACTCCTCGACAAGTGCCGTGCCAGTGGATGGATCTGGTAACAAGCTGTATATCTGATCGAGGAGGGACGCCGAGCTGGCGTCCACCCCGAGAGGCCTCATCTTCAATCGGTAGCCCGGTAACACGCCCGTGATCTGCTCTTCGAACATCTTGACTGTCGACTCGACGGTATCCGCAGGAACTGGCGGCACCGAGGGCACCGAGGGTACCGAGGGCACCGAGAGCGATGCCGTCTCCGGCGCTCTGGATTTGGGGGTACCACGCCCGCTCGGGGGTGTTGTGCCAGATATGAGAGCGCGGAGTTGCTGGACCTCGGCGCGAAGTGCTTCCAGATCCGATGCGAGCGCGAATCCTGTATTGCTTCCCCGGTAAGTTCGGTCGACTGCGGTGACCACTCACGCCTCTGTGACGCCAACGCCCTCCCATACACATTCCGCAGGTCGCCCACGTTTGACACAAGCATCGCACGGGGTCTTTCCCAATGCTGAGCACTGCCCGCGTAGCTCCCTCAGCACGACTTGCGGCTCCCGCACGCGCGTTCACACTCACTTTCGTCTTGCGCCGCTTACATTCCGTGCAGCTGAGCGCTCTGCGGCCGGATGACGCTTGGGGTGATGTGCTACGCCTCCTCTTAGGCGGGTTTGGGCCGGTCGACATGATGCAGAGTACGTATGCGGAGTGAGGATGAAACGAGTGGACGCAGGTTAAGCACCGTTGATCGCAGAAGTTCCGGCTCGGCGGAAGTCGCCGACTCGCCGAGGTGGCGTCAAAGGTTGATAAGCCTGTGGCGGAGTTTCCGCTCGTCCTCCGCGCGCTCATTGGAGGTTCCGTTTTTCGTCCGGCAGACGTTATGTATAAAAGCTGGTCGAAATGGACTGGTATCGAGGGCAAAGCAGCACCAACACCATCTCCATTCTCACAAGCACCCACATAACTCCGACTCTTCACTGCACGAGCGTCTCGTACCCGTCTGCCGACCCTCATTGGCCTCACCATCATGTCTTCGCCACAGATCCTTATTCTCGGCGCGGCGGGTTACATCGGAGGTGAGCCCCTCCCCGCCGAACGCCACTGATCACAGGAACCGTCCTCGTGGACCTGCTGAAATCCCACCCGGCCAGGAACATCACCGCCCTCGTCCGGACCGATGGCAAACAGTCGCTCCTGGCTCCGCTGGGGGTCAACACCGTCATTGGCTCGGTGGACGACACCGCGCTGCTGTCCTCGCTCGTCTCCAAGGCCGACGTGGTGTTTAACTTCGCCGTGCCGTTCTTCGGAGGCGACGCAGCCATGCAGACCATCGTGAATGCGCTGGAAGTGCGGGCGAGGACGTCCGCTGTGAAGCCTGTGTTGCTGCAGACTTCGGGTTCGGGGTCGATCATGTACGGCTCTGACGGTGTTGCTGGTGACGACGTCTGGAAGGTGAGAGACATCGCGCGTGACGGGGTGACGGGGTGTTCAGTACTGAGGTGGCAGGATACCGACTATGACCGCTGGGAGAGTCTCCCGGACAGCGCCTTCTTCCACTCGGGCGACAAGATGTAAGCAAGCGACTGCGGCGAAACTCGTCGACAGTAGTACTGCCAAGACCAGGGCTGACTCGAAACTCAGCCTCGCGGCGGCTGCCGAGCGCGGTATCATCTCCGCGTACATTGTCATGTCGCCGACAGTGTACGGTCCCGGTCTCGGTCCTGGTAACAGTGAGTGCGACGATTGGGGCCGTGCTGAGCTGCAGAACTATCACTGCAGATGCCGGCGTACGTGCGGTACGCCAAGCGGACGGGTCAAGCGGCGTACATCGGCAAGGGCGAGAACATCTGGGGCAACGTGCGTTGTTACTACTGTATCTCCACTTGACAAAGCTGACGTCGTTCCAGGTGCACGTCAGCGACCTCTCCGCGTTGTATCTCATCCTGATGACTCACGCCCTCACTTCACCGGGAAGCACGGCTGCCACTCCCGGCTCCCACGGGTGGTCCAACCTCATTTACGCCGGGCTAGGCCAACACACATGGAAGCCCATCGTCTCGCTCATCGGCGATCAGCTGGCCGCACGAGGCGACATCCCACACACCGGCGCGGTCAGCATACCGGAGGGGTCGGGGGATATGTATATGTTCGGCGGGAACTCGTTTATGGCGGTGAGCGAGAAGGCGAAGGCGCTGGGATGGAGGCAGGTCCAGCCGGACTTGGAGGAGGCTGTCAAGCTCGCGTTGCCAAAGTAGGCACGTTTCGAATTAGACATTTGAGATGGATCCCGTGCTTCGTCCGCCCTCCCCCACAGTCTTCGGCAAGAAAGATGAGTTTCAGGATGGCCGGCGCGGGCTTGCTGCATCCTCAGGTTCAAGGGCTGGAGATCGACGCATGAAACTGACAAGATCATATTCACAGCTCCTGATGATGTTTGATGATTTGGTTTGACGATTCATAATTTGGTTCAACACAACGTTTGATGATTTGGTTTATCAGGGATCAACTCATCACCATCACCATCACCATCACCATCACCCATCAACGTCGTCCTCGTCGATCATCGGCGGGTCACTCAGTGCATGTTCCGCCTCTGATAGGCCAGCAAAGGCTCGCGCATATGGCGAGAACCAAAAATGGGGGTCCGGCCGGGTTTGAACCGACGACCGCCGCGATACAGTTACGAAAAGACATTCCGTTCCCAAACACGGCATGCTACCACTACACTACGAACCCTAACAATTTTTTTCACCGGTTGTGTTTGGCATATGAGTGCGCACTAGAAAACTATGCGGGACCCCGCGCCATGAACATCTATTTGGTGCGCCACCATCACTTAAACGTGATGGTGCGTGATGGTGGCGATGATGGTGGTGATGGTGAGTCATTGATAGAGTTCTCGTTTCCCCGACATCCCCTAAGCTCGGGGTTTGCCGATCCGTGTGTGTTGGTGTGCCTTACGATAGACGATACAGACTTGCGTATCGGGATGTGTGCTCTGAGTGGTGTGGGTGCTGCTACATTCTTCTTCATTCAAGGGACAAAATCACATTGTCTAGAAAGCCGACCAAACCTCGTCATTGTCACTCCCGACGAGCCCTACGGAGATCTCTCAGGCTGAAACCTTGTCGGATCCAAGTCATGCCGCTTGAGATAGCGGACCTCGCCTGCGACGCACTCGACGAAGTGGGCGCGGCCGAGGGGTCGACGAGACCGCCCATACCGTTCATGTTAAGAATTTCCTCGGGAGGAATCGTGTACGGCTGGTCTCGAACCATCGTCGATGTGGCGCGGACGAGGGGCGACGTCGGCGACGTCGGTTGTTCCGGGGCTGCGAGGCCGGAGTCGCCGGTCAGTTCTGTGGGTCCTCGAGTGAAGTTCGGCACGTCCGACTCGAGCTCGGAAACCTGGAGCTCATGGTCTGTCCAGTCGATATAGGCGGCCATGGGTATCAGGGTTTCATGATGATCCCCGGAGTCCACACTGACGGCGATCCGCTGGTCCAAGTCTTGGATGCTGTGCTTTAGCCACTGTGGCCACTCGGGGTTGAGTTGTCCGGCAATTGGAATGAGCTGCGGGCGGTCGTCGGGGCTGGCGGGGTTGAAACGGGGCAGTGAACCCGACTCGACAAGATGCTTGACGATACTGACAAAGTCAGCAAGTAGACCCAGCACTGAACGAAGCCTCGTGCGCGCTCGCGTGGACCCGGCAGATGACGTAGCCATACAGCCTGTGGCGTCTGACCTGCGTAGGGGTCGGCGGAGACGTACCTTTGACTTTGCGGAGTGGGCATTAGTACAGGGTACCTTCCGGCCGCCTGCGCTGACGCGGACGACAAACTCCGCACACCAGCGAGAATATCCTTCGAATGGAACAAGGGCGTTCTGACCTCGTTACCCTCTCGGCAATGACTGTTCAGACACTGAACAAGGGCACCTCCCATGGATCTGATGATGGACAGGTCGCCGGCGGTATACTTGACGCGGTGAGGCGTTGAGCAGCTCGTGCAGGGGAATGATTGGACATAGTCCACGGATCTGGCTGTGAGCATCGGCTGCGTCATTGCAGATGTGTGCGAGCTGCTTGCCGCAAAAGACGCCCGCGGAATGTCATCGGAGGGTTCAGCGGCAAACGATGCCTGCGGAGTGTCATCGGCGGGAGCAGCTTGCCCCCGACCCACGTAAAAGCCGAGAGACGTCTGGCCAAACAATTGGAACTCATATTCCTCGTCGTTAGCCTCCAACTTGACCGATACGGGTGCAGTACTACTGCTCGTATGCGTGTCCTCAGAGACCATCGGAGCTTGTTGAGTATCAGTGACCGTGTAGGTATGTAAATATCGGCATCAGCTCACCATCACCCATGTGTTTCGGGGACCACTGGAGCTCGAGGACTTGGGCCGGGGCAGTTTCTTTCTTGCTGTCCACTGGCAAGCCCTGCTCATCCCACGCGACCAATGTGGGCAGGACGGTCAACACTTCGGAACCGAACTCCTCCGTTTCTAGGCCGATCTGAATGACCGATTTGAAATTGTTCACGGTACTCCTCGAGAGCTTTTTCTCTCGTTTCTGACCAACGTAGGCTGCGATGGGCAAGATCGGAGGCCTACGGCCCGGCGAGTCTGCCGCAAGTTGCTGCGTGTCGATCAGGCTCTTCACAAGACTACATAATATGAGTCTGTGCCCGCTCCCAACCACTGTCTCTGGCCTGGCTACACAAGGCACCCATGTCTTCAGACAATGCCACAGAGTGTTGACAAGCCAAGGCAGCACTTACCTCTGCGTTTCGGGCGTGTCTGCGGCGCAGCTCGTCTTGTTACGTTTTTCTTTGGGCAGATCACGAAGCAGCCGTTTCAAACCGCTCATGACAGATGTTTCCGCGAAGGCAGGGTTGGTGACGATATACCAGCTGCGACAATCTGTGTTCTTGCAGCTTCCGACCAAGCCGGCCACGGATTGCAGGTAGGCGTCATCTTCAGCCGCAATGCTGACGGTGTATTTGGTGTCGCAGCTGGTACAGGTGAATTGACCACTGGCGGAGATGCTGTGCTCACTAGCCATGTTGTCGGTGAGCTATGGCAAGTTGGGGGGATCCGTGATTTCGGTGATCGATTGCTGGGAGGAGTCGAGGTCTTATGGGAGTCTCATGGGTGCGCTGCTCACCTCAGCGGAGATAAGACCTCCTTTGGCAGAATCAAACGGTGTCAAGGACATCAAGGGACCTGGTTTGCGAGCTCCGCCATGCGTTTCTTGTCTGCTCTCCAATCATACAGCTTTGGTGTGGAGGGCTGCCATTCTGAGTGAGAACCACCTCCCTCTAGGCTCCTGTGGCCCCGGCCCGTTGAGAGGGAAGTATAGCATCACACTGTCGTGGTCGTGGTCGGGGTGGTCTGTCACAGTCGAGCGTATGAGGAGCGATGCCGGAGAACAAATCGGCACGAAGGCTCACTGCTCTTTTACCCTTTCGTACTCCGCGTTGCAACTGTGCATTCAAAGGAGGTCTAGTAGCCCCTCGCAAAGTCCACATTGTTGTACACTGGCTTCCCCTCCGCAATCCGTTGTGCGTTGGCCAGGAAGATATCCACGGCGATGTTCAGCTCGCCTTCCGTGTCTCCCGACAGGTGCGGGGTGATGAGCAGCTTGGGGTGGGACCAGAGCGGGTGGTTGTCCGGCAGAGGTTCAGGGTCCGTCAAGTCAACGGCGGCGCCGAGGAGGTGTCCGGGCACGTCGAGCGCCGCGGCGAGTTCCTCTGCGACGTACGTCAGCACGGTCGTATGCGGATGTTCTAGCGGGGTTTAAACATACCTGATCGAATCAGAGTACCCCTACCAACGTTGATGAGGACGGCGCCCTTAGGCAGGAGGGCTTGACAGTCAGCTTGAGTCGAATTCACGACACGTACCAAGATTGTGACGATCGAGAATGTATGTAGTATGCTTGGTGCTTGGCAGGATTGCGACCAGGACGTCGCACCGGGACAGGAAGGTCTCAAAGGCCTTCTTGTCGGTGGTAGAATAGTATTGAGAGGGGATCGAGCCTGTCGCTCTTTAGTTGTGGATCATCCCCGAAGACACTGGAAAGACCGTCGCTCACCATCGGCATCTCCCGTGCCCGGGAACACATACTGAGACGGGTGAGCCGACTCATTCGATTTGTTATTGGATTAGTGAGGACTTACTCCTTCTTGCGGAGTTGCCTTGCCCGAGGTGTTGGCGGCGATGACTTTCATACCCAGAGCCTTGAGCAGTCGAGCAGTCTCTCGACCGAGTGTTCCGTAGCCCTGCCTGTCAGCCACTATCCTTAGCCGTTCACTCACTAGCACGCCGACGGTGCGTCCGTAGGTCATGCGGTTGAAGAACACGGACGCGCCGCTCTGGTCGACATATTGGGCGTCGACCCACCGCTTCTCTTGCTGGGGACGTCAGAACCCAATCTCGCCCAACGCAGTACTATGCAGGAGTTCAGATGAGCGTCGCTTACCCGACCAATCTCGATCTGCCGAGGGATCTGGTTGAAGATGTTGATGATCATAGCGACGACATAGTTGGGGATCGAGAGCACGTGGATACCGGCGGCCGTGGAGAGGGTGACGGCTGGATTCGCGGCGTAGGCGCTAGCTCGGTCACTTGCGAGTGCCTTGTCCGCTCCGGCGCTGATCATCTGGACGTGCTGGAGGTGCGGGAGCTCCTGGACCGATTTGAACTTGGGTGGCAGACCCTTGTTGGTCGTGAGCAGGAGTTGGACGCTGGAGGCGACATCCGAAGGGAGGTCTCCATCGGGGTGGTAATGGACGGTCTTGAACGTTCCGCGGAGCTTCTCCAGGCCCTCTGGGAAGATCTCCACGGCGACGGCAACGACGAGGTCAGAGAGGGGCATGGCGGGTATGAGTGTTTCTGGGGGGTGGGAAGGGGCGTAGAGTGGTCAGAGTCTGTAGTGTATGTATGTAGATGACTTGCAGCGCGAGCGAGAATGTTGAGCGAGATGCATGATGCGAGGAATGGTCCAGATATGTTGTTTTTGGATAGAGGAGCCGGGCAATGTTTCGGTGACGCCGAGCCGGTTGTGTCCGGAGAGGCCGGTGTCAGGAGGGCCGCGTCAGGTGAGGAGCCGAGGCAGTCAATCTCAGCTCCCGAGAATGCACTCCTATTCGGCGGACGGGACACGAACCGCTCAAATAGTTGAAGTAGCCGAGATGCGACACCTGGGCTGTCATGTATGCTGATCAGGCGAACCGGTGGCAGCATGAGCATGTTCATGGGACAGAGGAAGGCTGTAGGACCAGGTGGGTACGTTGTTGCAACAGCTGCTTGACATCACTTACACTACCCGCGTCAGCCAGCGTGTTTGGAACGGATGTGATGATTACGGGCGGTCTGGTGTTCTCCGCTGGAGCCGTCGGGGAGGATGAACATGGCAAGCTACTTGACGGGACTGTGCGGGATCGGACCAAGGCCGCGATGCACGTAGTCGAGCGACGTCTGGCTACGGTGGGGCTCGACTGGACTGACGGTGAGTTCCAGCGTAAGGTACGCTGTACCATGACGTGTGGGCCGCTTCAGCACGAGACAAGTCGACTCATCAGTGTCAGTGGTACATGTCACCATCTACCTCTCGAAGTACGAGCAAGACTTTGCCGCGTTCAACCAAGCGTATGCGGAGGGGCTGCCCAAGGACGTGCCTCCCCCAGTGACAATCTGCGTCGGCGTTGCGGCGCTGTACGCTGGGACCGACGTGGAG